CCTCCTCCTCCTCCTCCTCCTCCTCCTCCTCCTCTCCAGCAATTTCGGCCCATGCTGGCATCTGGCAGCAGGTGCCACGCGCAGGCCGAGGCAGCAGTGCGCGCACCATCGGCGGCGGCGGGCTTGCCCGCTGTACGCCGATTCGCGGCTTGAGGGGGGCGGCCAGGGCGATCTGCTGCTAAAATTCATGATGTCCCAGTGTATGACAAAAGGTAGAGGCTGGCAACGAGATGAAGAAGCAAAAACCTCGACGACGTGGGGAACAGCTCTATGGAGGCGCACCTCACGCTCGGCCAGCAGACCTCCCAACACCGAGGGAAAGAAGGCCAGGCAGTACCCAGTGTGCCCTCATTTTCCTATGGTCAGTGGCAATTGGGTTTACTGCAATCAGGCGGACAAACCTGGATGGACCAACTGTAAGACCCGCGGACATGGGTAGAAGTCCACCAGCACGGCTGCGAAGTCAGACGACGACCACACCGTACCAGCAGAGGGAAGTGCCAACCCTATGCTGGAGCTGCTCAGGAAGCAGTTCATCCAGGCCAGCGAGCAGAATGATCAGGCCAAGATGGACGAGATCCTTGCGGCCTGTCCTGAAGATAACCCACCACCAGCTGAACCAGTCGAGCCATCCATGGGCCAGAAGCTCCAGCATGCGGTGGCCGAGCTCAATCGCCTCCAGAAGTACCAGGATAAGTTGGCCAAGCAGCTCAAGCGAGCCACCGAGCACTACAATGATGTGCTCCACAAAGTCAGCGAGAATGTGGCAAAACTGGCGGAAGCAAAGCGTATCTCCCGAGAGGCCAAAGCAGAAGTCGGCGGGGAGTGCGCGGGCGCAGCGGAGCCAGCCAAAAGAATGACGACGCCGAGGAGGACTCCCCCACCCTCTCCGAAGAAGAGCTGGCCATAATGGATGGCAAGCAGAAGGACAAGTACGCAAAAATTCAGGCCGAGCTCCGGCAAGCCAAGCAGAACACCATGGCCAAGAAGGAGGCAGTCCAGAACGCGAAGAATGCGCTCGAGGAAGCCAAGCGCATCCAGACCACGGACAAGGCTTGCAAGAGGCGCAAGGGCGACGACGGGGACCTCGTGGACAAAAAGGATTCAGCAAGCGAGCCAGCAGGCGCGGCAGAAGCTGGGGACGGTACTGCAACACCTACACCTACAGATCCTGAAGTTCAGCTCGCCAGCCATTTCGACCTCACCAACGACGAGCAGATCCAGTCCTACCTTGCGCAGCTGGCACGCATCAAAGGTAGAGCCAAGGTCGCGGTGGCAGCGCGACAATCGCCCCCTGCACTGTCAGAGTCCAAGCCCGCCCGACACAGTGGCAGGGCAGCCTGTACCAGACCGAAGCCCACAGCAATTGCGACCACAAATACCTCGTGATATCAAGGCCTGCCGAAAAGGGGGGCGAGCCGAGGGGGGCCCCTGGTACCAATGCTAATTGCAAACCCCAACTCGCGGCGACCCTTCTTCGAGGACCAAACCAGCCGACCAAGCATTGCTACCAGAAGACGGTCTGGATGGACGATGACATTGACTAAGGCACCGAGAGCGTCACCAGTATGCCAGGCGGCCACAACGACGCGGAGCACTATGACGAGACGAAACCTAAGGTCAAGATCTTCGTGGCCAACTGCAGCCAGCACAACGAGGCCGCCAAGAAGTTCACGGAGGACGAGAGGGTGAAGGACTACGACCTGGCTGCCTTCAATGAGCACCACCTTCGAGGACCAGCAGCGGAGATAGAGGCGAACAGGCTCACGCAACATGGTTGGCGGCCTCACGGCACATGGACACCAGCGAGGCAGTCGCCACGCTCGAAGAAAGGCACACTGGGAGGCACTTGCATTCTCAGAAGTAGGCACATTGATACACGCATCAACCTGGCAGACGCGCACGGGCACATCATTGACGCCAAGGATTTCTAAGACATGTCAGTGGTCATGTGGAGGCTCAGGGGCCAACAGATTGCGTTCAACACAGCGTACCTCGCCGCCTCCATCGGGTTCGCAGGTGAGAACATCCACAGGATGAAGCACCTCATGCAGATCACGCGCAGCCTGGGCACCATTTCTTGGATTATTTGCGGGGAATTCAACAACACGCCCCAGGAGCTCGAGGCGACGCCGTGGTTGAAGCTCATCGGCGGCACGCTTGCCGTGCCTCAGCAAGTCAGTTTTACATGCAGCAGCGGGCAAGGTCGCATCATCGACTACGCCATCATGGCACCCAACTTCAGACCATCACTGCGAGCAGTGCTAGCGGAGCACGACGTACCATGGTCTTCACACATGGAGGTGGTCACTGAGTTATGGGCTTGGCCATCCACCATAACAAGACGCAAACCTGCGCTGCCTGCCAAGAGGCCAATGCCAATGACGGAGGTCAGGCGCGAAAAGGGCATCAAGCGAAAGCAGGGGGGGCCGCGCGCTGCACCAGGAGATGACCCAGCACGGCGACACAGACCTCAATGAAGACAACCTGATGGAATCTCATTACACGGAGGCCGTGGCCGTGCGATGTGACCCGCTGCTCAGGGGCCAGTGCAGGAAGGAGGAGGCAGAGGTCCACGCCCGAAGGGCCCCACAGTGGGTCCAGAATTCCCTGGCATGCATGCAAGACCCAAGGATGAGCGACCTCCTGGGCAAGCTCTACAGAAAAAGATCGAACGCAGCTGAAACGGCACTTTCGCAGACCGCCGGAGCCCCTCTCCAACGCAGAGCCCGACGTGGACAGCCAGCTGCGTATCGGGAAATACCATTTCCACAACACATTGAAGGACAGCCAAGGGGAGAAGCCAAGACCGACCAGCTGCACCAGATGTGTACCCTATGGAGTTACTTACACCAGCGCAGCCAGGATGGCGCAAACCTGCATCAAAGACACCCGCTACACAGCAAGAAGCACATGAACAACATCTGCGACATCATCACCACGCTGACAGAGCAGCTACGCAAAGTCGGGTCCACTGACGTGGCCAACCGACTACTTGGACCAGCAAGCTGCACGACTGGCCAGGCGCACCAGGTACCTCCGACATGACTCTGACTCAGAGGCGTTAGCGGAGAATGCCGAAGAGAGGAATGAAGCCCAAGATGCCATGCGGTTGCGAGCAGAATAGCGCACAAGGCAGCCATGGAAGCAAGTACGAGAACAAGTTGGACAGTGGACGCGCAACGCCTTGTCAGGCAACATGCGCGGGGCTCAAAGATACGTCAACAAACATGAACATCGCGATCTACCAGACACGGCGGTGGACCCCCATCACCAGCGAAGAGACGGGAGCATTAAGAGAAGCAACATAATGTCGTGCAGAAGTTTGGCAAACACGTTGGCACCGACACGACAACAACAGCAGTTGGAGAATGCCACGGCAGAACTAAGACAGGCGACGCAAGAAATACTAACACAAAGAAGCCTGCACGACGTGAGCGACCTTTCTGTCATCCAAACGGAAACGTCCGTGAGTACCCTGGAACTGATAAATGAACGGCCAGTCCGGGCAACAAACCACGCTTAGCCCTAGTAAGAAAACTACTAGAAAGAGTAAAGGTCGGGGTACGATACGTAGTCGTAGTAGTAGAAAACATAATTTGTCCAACTGGGCTCGTGGTAGTAGTTGTAGTAGTAGGAATTGATAGTAGTGGCTGTATGTGTAGCAATCGTGTTGGAGGTTCGGTGTTTGGTGTGTGATGTTTGGTGTTTAATGATGGTGTTTGCGCGTTTGGTGTTTAGCGTTTGTTCGGCGCTTGACACTTGGTGTTGGGTTTTTGGTGTTGCTGTTTGGTGTTTGGTGTCTGAGAATGCCTGTCGGGTTTGGTGTTTAGTGTTACTGTTTGGTGTTTGGTGCGTGGTGTTTGGTGTTGGTGTTTGGTGCTTTGATGTTTGATGTTGGTGTTCGGTGCTTGGGTGTTTGGTGTTTAACGTTTGGCGTTTGGTATTTGGCGCTTGGCGTTTGTTGCTTGGTCGTTGATGTTGTTCGGTGTTTGGTGCGTGGTGTTTAGTGTTTGGTGTTGATGTTTGGTGTTGCTGTGTGGCGTTTGTTTCAGCTTCTGTATTAGTTTGCTTCTTCCTCTGGCTTCTCGAAAGGGAACATCAGTAACCTCCAGAAGTAACCGAGAAGGAAAATCAAACACCTCCGGAGAATACCGACCGAACCTCCAAATTACATTGTTTCTCCCCTCTCCTCCTTTTCCGTCCTCTCCACCTTTTCGCTCCTCTCCACTTTTTCGCTCCTCTCCTCCTTTTCGCTTCTCTCCTCCTTTTCGCTCCTCTACTACTTCCCGCTCCTCCTCCTTTTCGCTCCTCTCCTTCTTTTTGTCCTCTCCACCTTTTCGCTCCTGTCATCATTTTCGCTCCTCCTCTCATCATGTTCGCTCCTCTCCTCCATTTCTCTCCTCTATTCCTTTTCGCTCCTCCTCTCCTCCTGTTCGCTCCTCTCCTCCTTTTCTCTCCTCTCCCCCTTTTCGCTCCTCTCCTCCTCTCCTCCTTTTCGCTCCTATCCTTCTGTTCGCTCCTCTCCTCCTTTTCGCTCCTCTCCTCCTTTTCGCTCCTGTCCTCCTTTCTGTCCTCTGCTCCTTTTCTCTCCTGTCCTCCTTTTCGCAACGCTCCTCCTTTTCGTTCCTCTCCTCCTTCTCTCTACTCTGCTCCTTTCCTCTGCTCCTTTTCTCTCCTGTCCTCCTTTTCGTTCCTCTGCTCCTTTTTTCTCCTGCGCTCCGTTTCGCTCCTCTGCTCCTTTTCTCTCCTGTCCACCTTTTGACTCCTCTCTTCCTTTTCGCTCCTCTCCACCTGTTCGCTCCTCTCCTCCTTTTCGCTCCTCTCCTCCAAAACGACACCCCCAAGAGGCCCCAAAACAACCCCCGAGGCTCCCAAAGAGGCTCCAGAATCAGTGAACTTCCGAATTCAGTGATTTTGAGGAGGCCCCCAAAAAACCCAAAACGATCCCCAAGGGGGGCCTGAAAGAACCCCAAAGGGGCCCCGAAAGGATCCAAAAGGGGCCCCGAAAAGACCCCAAAGGGTCCCCGAAGGGACCCCAAAAGGGTTCCGAAAGGACCCCAAAGGGGCCCCGAAAGGACCCCAAAGGGGCCACGAAAGGACCCCTACAGGGGGCCCGAAAGGACCCCAAAGGGGCCCTGCACTGATTCCACAGGTAGAATCAGTGAATGTGTTATTTCACTGACTCTACTCGCAGAATCAGTGAACTGCCCAATTCACTGATTCGAAAGCTGGTTTGGGGAAAATCAGTGAACTCGCAAGTTCACTGAACCCAACTTCTGGTTTCACTGATTTTGGGAGGAGGAGGAGGAGAAGAAGGAGGAGGAGGCGGATGAGGAGTGAGGAGGAGGAGGAGGAGGAGGAGGAGGAGGAGGAGGAGGAGGAGGAGGAGGAGGAGGAGGAGGAGGAGGAGGAGGAGGAGGAGAGGAGGAGGAGGAGGAGGAGGAGGAGGAGGAGAGGAGGGAGGAGGAGGAGGAGGAGGAGGAGGAGGAGGAGGAGGAGGAGGAGGAGGAGGAGGAGGAGGAGGAGGAGGCGGAGGAGAGGAGGAGGACGAGGACGAGGACGAGGACGAGGACGAGGAGGAGGAGGAGGAGGAGGAGGAGGAGGATGGGGGGGGAAGGAGGAGAAGCAGGAGGAGGAGAAGGAGGAGGAGGAGGAGGACGACGAGGATAAGGAGGAGGAGGTGAAACCTCCATCCTCACATCACTCCAGAAAGTCCTCGACCAGAGCTGCCAAACCTGGGAGGTGGAGGTGAAGGAGGAGGAGGAGGAGGAGGAGGAGGGAGGGTCCTGCGGGTGGCTCGGCGGGGGGGCCCTCGGAGGGGCCAGGGTCGCTCGAGGAGTTTCCCAATGCCTGCTGGCAGGATCCCCCGCTGTAGCTTGCCCAGGTCCCTATTATTAGGGTCTGGGCGGCACAAATGATCGCGAAGCTTCATAGCCCGACTAACCGCCATCGCTCCGCATCCCGAACAGTACAGCACAGGCACACCACAACCAACTTGTTGGGTGATCCACACAGTGTGTTGGTAGTCAGGCTTCAGTGCAGCACTAAGAACCGAAATCATGAACTCCGACAAGTTTAAGCACGCTATCTTGATTTAGAGCTGGCTCCCGGACCTGTGGCAGGACACAAAGAGCCAAACCCCCCGACACACACAGCACGACGCGGCGCACGAGCCTGGGGAGAAGGGGGTGGGGGCCAGGGCACCCGCTCAAGGGAACCGTATAGCTCTCTTGTAGGCGTGCACAAATCGAGAATCGTTAATATAGCTACAGCAACCTGTTTGAAAAGCTCCGAGGTATGGTTAAAAGCTTTTACATCATCAGCAGACTGATTATAATTTCTAGGCGCATCTTTGGCTTTGCTTTCTGCATGGGCATTCCCACAAATATTCAGCACTTCCTGAGGCGACAGTGCATCAGACTCATCTCTGTGAGCCTTCACCTTCTTCAGATCTATTCTCAAAGGCCCTGCGAGTCTCCAGTACGCGGCATGCGCATTGGTGTGACTGCAAAGAGAGGGAACACGAACCGAAAATCCGAGGCCTCCGACCCAAGAGGCCCCCAAGAGGTCCCCAAGAGGCCCAAAGAGGCCCCCAAGAAGCCCAAAAGAGGCCCCAAGACGCTCCAAAACGGCCCCAAGAGGCCTCCTAACTGCCTCCAAGAGGCTTCCGAGCGGCTTCCCACGAGATCCCAACGAACGTCCAACAGGCTTCATACCCACAACCCATGCACGGTGGCGGAGTGGGCCGAAGGCCGTTCGTCTACGAGGGTGCATGAGGCTCCCATGGTTTGCTACCGAACGATTCCACTCCAGACTGGTGGTCGTTCCAAAAACCTTACTGTGCGACCCAACGGCCCCTCCGGCGCGTAGTCCGGGTTCGACACCAGGCGGATGCGCGTCGCCTCCGGCGGGTGCAGGGCGCGACTTGGGAGCGGCGAATCAAGAAACCCAGAGAGACACAAGTAAATGAGCACAAATTCCAGGATTCCACATACGTCTCATACTTTCTGGATTTTCGTCTTCCCCCCATCTCCCATACATTCTCTCGGAGATCGACGTGAATTCGTGTCTGTGTCTATCCCCTCCTGAGAGAAGGAAGAGGACGAGGAGGTCGAGGTCGAAAGGCACCAGGGAGGGACACGCCTGGGGCCCTGCTGGAAGGGGTCGGGGCCTCGGGAAGTTGGAGAACTGGCACGGGCTGAAGGAGGAGTAGCCTGCGCTGTGGACAGCTGGCCAGAAATACCCCAGCCAGCCGGCCACCGCCGACCAACCCTCCGGCCAAGCCCAGCCAACCCTGGCCAACCCTCCCAGTGAACCCCTCTGGCCAACCCTGGATAGAGACACTACGTCCGCAAGAGATGGTAAGTCGGGCACACACTAACATGAATTTGGGATCCGTGGATCTGGCGCGTGAGTGCCAGATCCACGGGTCTGGGAAAGGTTTCCGAAACACGCAGCCAATGCCGCCTGGCTTGGCATCGGAGAGCGTCAACTCTGCACGGAAGCGGGACCCGCCGCTAACCCACGCGCCATACGGTCGGTAACTTCTTCTTTTTTGCACCACTAGTAGTCAGTAGCAAAAGCGCGGCTGATCCGAGGAGAGATTGACGCGGCCTGGCCAAAATAGCCCTGGCGGCCAACATGGCGAATCCATCACCCCGCCAGCATGTAGAGAGGGGCGAGAGGAGGAGGTGGAGGAGGAGGAGGAGGACGAGGACGAGGAAGGGGAATACCGCGGCCAACTCGGTTGGACACTCCGTGGCAGAATGCATCCCACAGTGGCGAACTGCGTCAAATCAAATATTAGGCTGCACCTCAAAGTCAACGGCTCTGGCCCGCAAATGGCAACCAGAGGAAGAGGAGGAGGAAGAGGGGGAGGAGGAAGGGGCAGGAGGGCAGTGAAACTGCGCTTGGAACTCGATGTGAGCTATGCCATCGCCTTCGGCGGGAGCATCATCGACCCAGAAACGATACTGAAACGAAAGGGTCGAGCCTGCGAGGTGGCCCCAACCAAGACGCCAAGCCAAACGGCAACGGAAGGTATAATAGGAAATCGCGACCAGCGAGAAATGAACTGAAATAGATAAAGTTACCGCGTCAAGCACACTATCGAGAGCGAGGGGGAGGAGGAGGAGGCGTGGGAGAGAAAGGAAGACTGCGCGCATCCACGGAGCGCTCCATGGCAGGAGGGGCCCAAACGTCGGCCTCGGCGGTCGGGAACTTTTGCATAGCGTGTTGTGGCGGCGGCCCCGGCGACACGCTGTGCCCTGCAAGCGGTTAGCATGTCGCTCCGCTCCGCGGGGCGGGAGGCTGGGAGGGGCACGGGACGTGGACGCATGGTGTGACGAGGGACGTGGATGGCGCGTCGCGCCGCAGCGTGGTGGGCCAGAACCGGCGGCGCAACACGCTAGTCCAAAGTTCCCGACCGTAATTCACGTTTGCGCCTGCAGGCCGCGGTGTCTGAGCGGGAGAGCAGAGCCCTCGGCCTTGCCGCGGCGGTGCCTCCTCGCTGCCTGCGCCCGAATCCAGAGACGGGGCACCGCTGGGCACTCCGACGGCAGCGGGGGCCCGAGAAGAGAAAGGCGGCCTGCCGCAGGCGGCGGCGATCTGTGGGGTCCTGCCCGAGCTCCCTCGCAGCCCTGAGGCCTCTTGGCGCAGCCCTGTCCTGTCACTCTACTGGCCCCGGGAACCGTCAGAAGGTACAGGAGCTGTTGCCCAGCACGAGGGAATCTCCTCCCTACCCTACATCCCCTCCCCCTTCCACCAGTCCCCTCTTCCCTTGTTGGGAACTGACCTCTGCGTCCCTTACCATCCATCTGCCAGTGCTCCATCGGTACACTCTGCCCTTGCGTTTTGTTTCTGTTCATCCCATCTTCTCTGAACCTACCTTCCATCTACTCATGCATCCTCGTATCAACGTGTGCCTCCTCTCTTTCCCCTTGTTTCCAGTACTCGACTCTTGCCTTCTTCGCTTATCATCCTCATCACGCATGCCTCGGTTCTCCCCGCCGATCCCCGCTCTTCCCTCGGAAGGGTAACCTCGTAAGGGCAAAGGAAAACGTCGGCGATGAACTCGGCCACGGCGGAGGAGGCGAGCGTGATGGGTGTGCGGTTCTCCCAGGCTTTCTGCTCACCCATCGACCTGTCCAGGAATGGTGCAGCGAAACTAAACTGGAACAAACGGAGAGTATGATGGTCGTCGTCGTGGTGACCACGCTGCCGCGTCCAACGAGGCCGAACGGGGGCTCCGCTCGCGGACGCGTCCAGGGCACCCGCTTGGAGAGATCAGCGCGGGCTCGGAAGTGCGGTGAACTGCGAAACCCAGGTCACCTAATTTCGCGCATCGCGCCACGCGACGCGCGATCCTCTTTGCACCATTGCGCGCCGCCCTCCTCGAAGGGCAGCCGCTCGGGCACTGGCCGCGACACACGAGGCGCGATCCTCTTCGCTCGCCCGCGGGTACCCTGGACCAACAGCTAAGCTGATACAGATGAGATTCCTGCATTGCCTCGAGGGAGAAGCGGGGCTCGCGGGCCCCGAGGGCCCACCCAGCTACCGCAGGTTCGTGCCGTGGCGACATCTGCGCTGGTCTCTAACACCGTGCTGTCTTCTTTCGTTCCCAGTCAGACGATCGTTCGCACCAAATTTTGCTTGCTTATGGCTCTGCCCAACAAGCAGAGCCATGAGCACTGCGATGCGCACTGGGACCCGAAAATCGCGCCTACTACAAACGAATCGGCGGCTCCTCGATCGCCAGGTCGTTCCATGTTTGCAAAGTCTGGGCCAACGTGGAACGCAGTCTGCGCTGGGGTCGCCGCCGCACCGACGACGACGACGACGACGACGACGACGACGACGACGAAGACGACCACACGACCCTGCCGCTGGGGCCCATCGCCGCTGGCGCTCGCTCGGCGACGCCAGCGTCCGACACCGGGTGCCCGCGGGTCGGGGGGAAGCGCTGGGAGCACGTAGCCGCTACATCGCCCTCTTCCTGCAAATTTAACAGAACGATTGCGACGAAGACGGGGCTCTGTTTTGCAATCAGCGGTCAGCGTTCGGACCACGCAGGTGCGTGACACCGCCTGACGGCGGTTACAATCACCTGAGCCACACGCCAGCAGGTGCACAGTCACCTAAGGCCCTACACAGGAACACCTCGTGCTCCTGCGCCTCCTCATCCTCGTATTCCTCCTCGTGCTTCTTCCCCTCCTCCTCCTCCTCCTCCTCATCCTCCTCCCCATCATCATCCTCATCATCCTCCTTCTCCTCCTGTTCCTGCCTCGTTTTGCGCCGGCACGGAGCTGTAGCGTTCTTTCTCCTCCACCTCCTCCTCCTCCTCCTCCTCCTCCTCCTCCTCCTCCTCCCTCCCTCCCTCCCTCCCTCCCTCCCTCCTTGCTTCCTTCGCTTTCCCCCCCCGCGACATGCCGTGCTGCGGCCAGGCGCCGAGGCTGGGCGCGAGCTCGTGGCGAGGGCCTCTCTCTCGGGTTCGGGTGCCGCGCCCCCTCTGCGCCTCAGGGGCAGGAGGGCACGGGCTGCACGCTGGGCACGGCGTGCGGTGGGCGGGAGGCCATGGCTGGGCATCGCTGAACCGATCCTCGCGTGTTCGACGATGGGCCCCTCGCGTCATGAAAAAATCACGGCGGGAGGTTTTTCGCTATTTTCTGGCCCTGAGGGCCCTTACTGGGCCTCGGGACCATCAGAAAACAACTCAGGTAGAAAAACCAGTCCCAGGGAATGCGTCGAGACTGCTGGGGGTCGACGTTATTCGGCGGCGAGCCCGTGGGGGAAGTGCGAAAAGGGCGGGCCTTCTCAGAAGGCTCGGAAGTCCCCTGGCCTTCTCAGAAGCTTTCTAAGCCCTCCCCGAAGACATACTAAAAACTTCTCTCAAAGGCCTGAGAGGCCCCGCCGCCTTCTGAGAAGCCCTTCTCCTTGTAATTTCTCTCCCTCGCTCGCCGCCTAGTCATACCCATCGCTCTGGTCCGTCTTCGGCGGTCTTCGGAGACCTCTGGACGGTCGTCGGCGGCCTTCTGACGGTCTGCGGTCTCTTCGGCGGTCTCCGGCAGTCTTCTGGGCGAAACCTGGATGGCTGCGTTCGACAAGGGGTTCATGATCGAACACCCAAGGATCCCTATCCCAACAGGCGTGGCCTTGGCCCTCGTGTCGGGACGCCTTCAGAACGTAGTTTCTCACACCGCGTGGATCGTTCAACCTTGAACGATCGGCGGCTTCTCTTTCGCCAGATCGTTCCATGTTGGCCGATTCTGGGCCAGTAGTGGCGTTCAACCTTGAACTCCCGCGGCGGGGTCGCCACCGCGTCGACACGACACGAACATACCGTATCCACCTAGGCGGGGATGCAACATGCCCGTTCGAGTTTCGCGTGGCCTGTTCCTTGGAATGGCGGAGCTGAAATGGCAGGGCGCAAGACGGCGTGGCTTTGATCGGCCGCCGCCCCCCTCCCCCCCTCCCCCCTCCCTGGGGGCTCAAACTTCTATGGGAAGGGGCGCGACGGGCCCTGGCCGACCGCTGGCACACGCCCGCACCAGTGAACAGTCCGCTGGCCCCCACCTTGCCACGGTACGCATCGGCAGCGACTACCCGAAGGCGCCACAACGGAAAACGGCAAACGACACGTACAGTCGGCTCGTATCATCAAGATACGCGGTGAGGATGCAGTGGACGCCCATTTCGAAGCTTTTCAAGCGGGGCGCGGCCAACAAAAGTGACAAAAGATGGACCAAGGAGGCAAGGATGCAAGGGTACCCTTAGGAAGGTTGCCCATCCGTATCATGCAGGTTTGTGTACCGAACCAGAGGCCGCACATATCCTCTCCTGGTGGTCGGCACAAGGACGTCAGCCTCTCGAGTAAGGGTACCCCTGCGAGGACAGCAAAGAAGACGGATGAAGTACCGCGGGTTCGTGTCGTGTCGACCCAAACGTCGGTTCCTGACACCGCGGGGATCGTTTCATCTTGAACAATCGGTCGTTTCCGAAACGTCAGGTCGCTCAACATCGACCGATTCTGGGTCGCAGGCGGCGTTCGATTTTGAACGTCGGCGACGGGGGCGCCGCCAATCGATACGACGCGAACCTACCGTACCCCGATACGGCTGTCGGGCCCAGGCTGCGAAACGCGACCCTCTGTGGCCCCCATGAACCACCACACAAACGAACATATTCGAACTCACGTTTCGAGTCGCCGAGGTCGCCAGGAAGCATCGTCAAGATCGAAGATTCGACTGCCCACTCGAGAAGTAGCTGAGTGTTTGCTTCAGGCCTGCACCACCACCGGTACCCCCTTCACGCTTACAGCTGTAGCATCAATGGGCCATCTGCCAAAAGGAAGACATGCGCATTTTCTTCACATCCTCACACTCGTTGTTATAACTCCCGAACGCAATGATATGGAAGAAGGGTAACTCCGCCAGCACATCAGAAAAATGCGCTAATTACAGGGCCGTCCCCAGCACTGCGTCCAAATTGCTTGCAGAGGAATTGGCTTCAAGAATGAGAGAAAGCCCCGCAAGAGCAACCGCAACGATCAGCCACTGAGATATGTCGATTATGGCAACGTCGCTGTTTTGATAATTCATACTGGCTCGGAGAAAAAGCACGGACGCAGCAATCTTCGTCTTGAAGATCTCAACGCCACCAAACTTGAACCAGCCCTGCCGGAGGGGGGGGCACGTGACAGCCAGACATGGCGGCAAAAGAACCAGGAGCGGCAGGGAAAATGGATAAAGAGAGCCCAACAGAGGGGTCAACGAGCAAGAGCAGCAGCAGCAGAAGGACAGCAGAGAGAGGCAGAGGTGACGGAGAGGCGCGTGGAGATTCGGGACACGCAGAGAACGATGCCCAAACCACGCGGCCCCAGCCAGTGACCCTACTGACCTAGTATGTGGTTAACTCTTTGTTAATTCGGGAGCGGCAAAGAGGGGGGTGTCCAAGAGGGGGGGGTGCAAATCATGACCGGCGGCACGTGCGCGGCCCAGCGGGGGTGCCAGGAACGTAATGAAATAAGACGAGGCGCCATGAAATCTGGGGAAATATCATGGCCCCCGCCATGATATCCCCCCCCCTAGTCATCACCCCCCTCTTTGCCGCCCCCGATTAATATGGGCTCATCCTTGACCAGGCCGATAGCCATAAAATGATCATGTTCGCGTTGTAATACTTCATCCTCATCTTCTTCCTGTAGTAGCCTCTTCCTCAGGTTTATCTTCAGAGTAGGTGATGTATCCCTCCATGCCATGGCGAAATGAGTGCGGTAGGGTGTCCGTTAAGCTTTGAGCTAGCAACAAGATAAGAGAGGGGCCGGCCGGCAGGGGGAGAGCGCCCGGGACGGCGCGCGCGGCAGGCGGGCGGGCCGTGACGCTTTTTACTTGAACCAACCCACTGCCACTGCGTCGAAGCTGCGGGTCAGAAATGGGCCGGGGGGGATGACTAAATCAACTTCCCCCGCGGCGGGCCCGGCGAGCTCCTCTCGCGCAGGCAGACGAACCTGACTCAGGTACCACCCCGAATTGTTCGCATGCGTCGGAGCACGCGGCGCCCGGCAGACAGTTCTCCTACTACTGAGCCCGCCGTGCAAAAAACGCAGGTGCAGAGCACCCTTGCTTTACGGCGACTCAACCATCCCTGACGGACGCGATCGGGCCGCAATCATCAGTCTCGAAGGGGGTGCGTCGGCATAGCCACTTTCCCCCCTCGTTTTCTTCCACGCACCCTCTCCAGCGGCCACGGGAGCTCCAGCTGCCATTGTACCAGCTGTCCGAGCTCCATGCCAACGATGACCACCAGTCCGTGGCGGCTTCCTGCGATGGGGTGGAAGAATTCGTAGTCTGCTGCTCCGAGTCGCCACGCGCGCGACCTGCCCTGCGCCGCGGAGCATCTGCCTCTGAACGCCACGGAGCATCCTGGCATCGAACGCCACGGTCGGCGCGCAACCAGAGGAGGCTGCCCCCGCACTGCGGGGCGCGTTCCACAGCGTCGGGTTCTCAGCTCGGCGCCGCCTGGATTCCTGTTGATCATATGGCACTCGGCTGCTTGCCCTCTTCGTTCCCATGCCATAGCTCGTTGCCCTTCCCTTTTCCCGCGACATCATCCCCCGTCCTCGTTGCCTTGGGGCGGCCCTCAGGCCGCGCGGAATGAGGCCGCTTGGAACCCTTGGCAGATGGCTCACGCACCGATGCACCAGCTCCGACATAATCGGCTGGCGCACTCGAATACGCAGGCCGCGCCATAAGCGGAGAGACCCTGAGAAACTCGGCCCGAAGCCAGTATTTCTCCATCTCCGCCGCCACGGCAGCCTTCAGTCTGGCGCGCGGCTCAATGCCAGTCGTCCCTGGAGCCGTCATGCACCACGCGGGCCAACCACAGCTCGGCTCCTCTCGGTAACGCCCATCGGGGCTAGTGTAGTCCCAATCGGAAGGGTTCAGTATGGAACAGACCTCATCCTCCATCACCCTTCTGATCCTGCATGGCCGCCACGCTTTCGGGGGAACCACCGCGTCCTTCCCTGTCGCTGGCGCGCCGAGGTGTTCATTCTGGAACTCGGTAAACTTCCGAGCCAGCTCCATCGTCTCATCGAGCTTGCAAGGGTTCTGCGGCGGAGAGAACTCGTCTTCTGGGCGCGCGGGCAACCAGGCGAAGACCTTCATGATGTCACTATGGAATGCACTCCCACCTTGAAGAGCATTCTCCCTACGAAGGCCAATCGCCTCCGCGTGAGCTCCAACGATTTCTCACGCGCCCTTCTTCGCACACGATCAGCGTCTGCCCCAGCCCATCTCTTCGGCCCGAGGTCGTGGACTTCGTCCTGGCGAACCCTCTTCTCTAGGCCAAAACCATTGTAGACGACCTTCGGCTTGATCCCCGCGGCATCGACAATGCGGACCCCGCGCTGCTCAGTAGCCCGACATGCGAAAGACATCAGCACCCCGATCTGATAACGGCAATCGCCGCTGCACAGAAGGTATCCGTCTTCCGACAAGTGGGGCGCGCATAGCGCGTCATTCTTATCCACGGAGGCGAGCTCATCGCCGACATCCTCGTTGGGCAGGCAGTGCATCTCGCAGTTCTGCTTCGCGAAATCAACGCATGCCGACCCGAGCTCGGGATGGACCAGCAGGGCCGCGATCCGTCTGTCATAGACCAACGTCCACGATGCCCGTGCATGCTGTATACCCGACACAGTAAGTCGCATTTTGGTGGATATCATCCCACTTAGGGCGGAACGTCGTCGCCAGAGCGCCGTTGCGCTGTATCCAGATATCCTGGTTCTCAAAGAGACGAGGCTGGAACGTAACCACATACATGTAGGACAACGGATGCGGGCCATCGAGTCCGAAGACCCTGGCACCCAAATCCTGGCCAGCCACTGATCCCGCCCATCCACCCCGTCTGAGCCACCTTGGCAGCTCTCCGTTTGTTTCGCCGTTCTCGCCAATCTGAATATTCTCGGCCACCTTCTGTGCCCCATTGGCATACCACTCGCCATTCCTTACAAGTGGTTCGTCGAATGCCGCATGACAAGTAATGAGCCGATACTGTCACATCCCCTGGAGGTCCTTCTTCCTCGATTCGAGGTGCCCGGCCATAGACCGCTCCATGACCTCATCCCCCAGGGGAATGAGAACGGCCTGATAGTAATATCCCGCAGCCGCTTCGCACCCGATGCAGATGCGCTTCGGATCTACAAGAACGGAATGGCCCTTACAGGCGCGAAACATCAACGGCACTCTAGCCAAGGGCGGCAAGATAGGGAATCTCGCGTCGGCGACCCTCCATTGGAGCGCGCCCAAGGTTATCCTCCCAGTCGCCAGGCTCGGCGGTCGGACCCGCGTCCGCGTTCGTCATGTTCACGCCGAGGACCTAAGCCGCGTCGGGAGGCAGTTGGGCGAGGGCACGCACGAAGCGCGCCCACACTCTGTCGCACCCCTCGTCGCCCAGCATCTCGACGATGACGCATGCTTCAATCCACCCCGCGCCATGCATCGCCAAGTTGATGATGAGCGAGCCTAGGCGCCCTGCCCCCTCCACGTCCACTCCCAAGTACCACGCAAGTGAGCGTCGCTCACTACTTAAATCCATCGGGTCATGGCGGGACTCGGGGGACGGGGCACAGCGGGGTTCGACTGCGTTGAAGGGGGCACGCAGAAAACGTGAATATTCTGCGCCATCTTCAGCAATCAAACTACGAAGGAACTCAAGTAATGGGTCGCCGACCAAACCTCGCGCCCACTCAACGGTCCTTTTCCCGTATCCCCAATCTCTCTTCTCACGTTCTTCGAAGGACTCCGGGCCAATGTCGCGGTATTATTCCAGCCTCCGCGCCAGCTCGACGGGGAGGGCACATAGCGCTCCGTCGCACCCATCCTCGATGAGCGATGCACCAAACTCGTCGTTCTCTGCGTTTCGAGCCCAATCTGAGCTTTCTCTCTCTCTCTCTCTCTCTCTCTCTCTCTCTCTCTCTCTCTCCCAAGCCCCTCTTCCTCTGCTTGCACGCGTCGATTGCGATCTGTTCACTCCTGGGAGGCATAGGAACCCCAGAGAAACAGAAATACTTCGACATGAAAGCGCGAGGGAGATTGTCAGAGGGCGCATCAGGGGGAATCACTCCAGGCGGACTTATGCGAGGTATAACCTGCACATGTTATTCCGCGCATGTGTTCTGCGTATATTCTGACTCATTTGACTCGACCCTATCTTCTGATACGCTGAACTCGTCCTCTTCCTCCTTCTTCTGCAAGACCCTGAAATGCGGCCTGGACCCGGCGCCCCGCTTGGCCACCAGGTGGCGGAGGGTCCTCTTCATCAGACGCGTCCCAATCGACCATCTCTGGCTCCTTCTTGCCAACTGACTCCCCTTGCTTGGGTCTTGCACCCCCGATGGGCCCCCGACCGCGAGCATGCGCGACATCGTCCGAGGGTAAAAGAACAGGCGGGGAGGTAGCGGCATAGCCTTGCCGCCCCCTTCCGCGCCAGCGGCGGAGGACTGCCCCGGCCCGTTCCCAGGGCGGTCCGAGCCGACTTCCGCTCCGGCCGCAGAGCTCACCTCCGTCATCCCGGAGGCGATCTGAGTCTACAGACAAATGCGACGGACTGTCGGCCTCCTCGAGCGAGTCCGCCACGCCCTCGTTGATCTCAGATTGGCACCACCATTCAAATATTCTTCTCTCGTGAGCCAAGATCTTAGCAGGAGCGTTGCGCTTGCATGTGCCGGCCCAGCGCGAATACGCACGCGAATGGGAAGCACGCAGATCGATGGGCAGCGCAGTATTTGGCCTTTCGCAATAATCGCATGAAACCACTGGCTGCAGGTACGTTGGCCTCTTCATCGTAACCCCCCTGCACCTCCCTGTATGATGCACGGTAACATCCAAGCTGAAGACAGATGTAGACCTGCTCCAAGCGAAACATTGTCTCCTTGGGCACCACTGGGAGTTCCTTGGATAAGGGCCTCGCATCATCCATCGGGCGCGGTTGAAGAGACGGCGCCACTTCCCGCGGATCAGGTGGCTGCGTGGATGGAAGAGACGACGAATACAGTTCTTTCGACGGGAAACGAAGCATCGCGTTCGCATAGTAAACTCTTGAACCCCGTCGCTCCCAGGTTTCCCCAGTTTGAGCGCAGGCGCTTCTTCCCAGGTGGGATGGTCTTGCGATGCGCCACTGTCTGCCCGTGGATGTCGTCGCTGTCAGCCCGAACGAAACATCAAAATGCCCAGCTGGAAGGCCATTGTGCCAAAACGGCCACGCTTGGCCACAACCAAGTCATAATCAGCATCATCCGCTCCTGCGCGGTCGTCAGCGTCTGAATCGGGTGCGACTCCCCCTTGGCCCATGTCTTCGTCCTCTCCATCAAGGGGCAGCGGGTCCATCAGCTTATCGTCCGCGAAGTCCCCGATCGAATATTTCACCCAGGGGCTATCCACGTCCAACTTCGCAGGGGTGACGTTGTTCGCCTGAGAGCTTCGGCACTCTGTCACAGCGGACCAGGGCGTTGACGTCGGCGGGTGCATAGTACTCCTTGGAGAACTGATCCGTACCCACCTCTGTTCCCCGAAATGCATCAGCAACCCATGGCACTCCGCTCTCGGCGGCAAAGACACGAAGACGTTCGACTGGCATTTTCTGGACATCGCGAATGTCCTGAATCTGCTCTCGCTGCCGAGGACTACGCAGTGCCCGACGAGCCTCCCGCACCTGCACCCTGTCTCATCGTCAATCCTCAGTCAAGGATCGCGGCCAAGTCCGGCTCGAAACCATATCCGTTCAACACCCTGGGGAGGTATAAGCAAAGCCCCTTGGCGCGTGTTTGCGGAGGCGCAACGAAATGCAGGCGGAGAGCAGTGCGCACTAGATTCTGGGGGTGCGGGCAGCATTACTGGTTGTTCTTGTGAGAATCCGCGGCTTTGAATCCCCCAGACTCAGAGGGCGGAGCCAGTCTGGAAATCGCACGCCACTGCCAGTCCGCCATTGAAAAATGCAGTCGCGCACACACACACTCTGAATGGCTCATATAACGGGAGGCTCATATAATCCTCAAGGGAGGCTCATATAATCCACGGGAGGCTCATATGCAGTCTGCCACGGGAGGCTCATACAATCCTCAAGGGCGCACACACACACACTCTGAATGGCGCGCGGGAGGCCTTCCAAAGCTTCGTTCGCCCTCCGTCTTTCACTTTGGAGGCAACGAAAACGCCCGCATGGAGGACTGCATCGAGCCTGTTGATGTTGACTGCGCGCGAGAAGAACTTCCAACCCTCGCTCCAATTCTGCGCGTACGAAACTGGGCGGGGGATCAAACGGCAGGGTGGCAATGGTGTTCTGGCTGAACATCAACCGAAAGCTCGGCAACGCCGAAAATGTCGCATAGCGCCCCTGACGCGCCGTCTTCACCAGTGCACAGACGCCTCGCACTCAACCACTCAATCACTGATCGAGCAAGGCACTTCTGGGCAGGTTTTGGAAAGCACGTGCGCCGAATCGCCAATGCGAACCAGGCCTTCGAGCCAGTTCATATGCCACATCGCTGATACAAGACACCGTCTGGCATCAGCTCCCGGTCTAGCCCCCTGGGCACCGATGGGATGTAAGACAGCAGCACCTGGTGATCGACCGTACTATCAGGAGAGACCTCTCTGCCTAGCAGCATACCTCGCTTCTTGTCCGTCTCGATCGTACCAGGCCCGATAATGATCGACTTCCGATGTGACTGGTTCGACTCCAAGGCAGCCGAAAGCCCCCCCGTCAATCTCACATATCGGGTTGACCTCGGTGCGCCCATCCACATTGCGGAAGCCTGACTTCACACGCAAAGAATATTGAACCTTGTTCCCGTCGTTCAGACTCTTTTGCCACGTCTTCGGGGCGCCACTGGCATAGCCAGTCCTACCCCGCCAGCGTATACGATCACCGTGTCAAGCGTAGTAACCTCTCTCATTTCCAACAGTGCTTTCATGCACCGATTCGCCCTGTCGCCACACATATTCTCGCGAACCACATGGTCGCCATCGGGTAACATTGCTGGATCAGAGATACGATCGTCGCGGGAGTGGGTATATATCGGCGCATCTCTCCACGGCACCCTGGCAGCTGCGCCCCTTTTCTTGCACCCACTCCGCGATCCTAGCAGCGCCCGCGCCCACGCGCGTCAGCATGGGCAACAGGGGAGCGTCTGCGAGGCGAAACGGGAGGAAGGGCTCAAACTCCAAATTTGCCACATGTAAAAATTCATCCTCGCTGTAAGGCACGCGGTCGACGAAGAACTCGACCCGCTTCGGGCGGGCAGCCTTGGTTCCTTGCTGCTTCTCGTCGTTGGTGCAGGCATAGCCCCCCTGGGACTTTCCCCCGGGCTGGTATTCACCTCAATGCTGACCTCGCAGGCAGTGGCGCTGAACCTGGCCATTTCCCTCACGCATGACTGACCAGGGCCCTCTGTGGAAGGCCATGAGTCGCCGACGGGGCGTTCGCCCTCCTTGCATAGCTCCGACCCGCGAACCCATGCCATTATGCAAGGAATCCCGGCTTCTTCCCCAATCTGAGCCTGTCGTCGGCAACGGCGGCGGCTCGGCTAGCAAATACATTCCAGGCGACAAAATCCCCACTAGTAGGAGGGTTTCCCCAAGACCGGGCATCGCCCAGCCCCAGGACTACCATGTAGTTATGATCCCTCTGGGCACATCCACCCTGCATGTC